AACTGATGACAAATAATGTCAAACGTCAAAATACACACATTTGTACGAAGCTGTCAAAATAAGCTACAAAAAACACGTTTTTAGTGCTGCTCTGCTGTTTCTGCAATAATTTGCGGAAAAACCGTCTCCACTTTTTCTGTGAGTACGGCAGCAGGTTAAACATGACATCCCAAAAAGTACACTTTTTTGGATATACACTCAATTTCAAATACGAACAATATATTATATCCAACTGATTTTGGTCTCTGGTGGACAGAGAGGTCCCGAATTAGACGTACACGGCGAATGGTGCATCAATTCGATCTTTTTAGTAGTCAAATAGTAGAATGTTTGATGGGATGATTTTTGCCCTGATTGGGGATCATAAGTTTCAGAGGTTTGGTTTTCATATTTCCATGATGACTTCTGGGAGGTAAATGGTTGTATACTGTTCAGCATTGAAGGACCTTTGATCCTCTAAAAACATGGTAACAACATGACCCCTAACACTGTAAAATAATGCGGTCCAATTTTTCATGATCACTTCACAAGCGAACAACTTGTGTTGGATTGAGTTCATGTTTGAAGACTCAGAGAGTCGACCGTGCTTTTCTTTCGGGTCCAAAGCACTGGAATCATGTATTGGCTTCGGTTGTGATCGTATGGACGTGTTTTTATGATCCTATGTTAAGTTTACTTGGACATTTCCTACTGCCAAATAAAAGGTTGAATTTCTGAACAATTTTCGAATTATTTGGGATGAAGGTACAACTGCCAGGTGATTGTACAATATTGAATGTTTGTCGTGGAATGGTATGCCCAGATATGCTACAATTTAATTGTAAAAGAAACTTCGATCCTATATCAAACGGTACCAGGGTGTTCCTCGAAGACATCAATTTTCGAAGGACCATCGCGCAATGGATCTCTGTGGCTAGCACCATGACGATGGTATTGAGTGAACCAGTTGTATACAGTGGCAAGACATAGTACTTCCTTTCCATACCTCAACTTAGGTCAGAAGTAATACTCTTGAGCAGAGACCTCTCTTTGAAAACTTATTGAAAATTAACTTTTTTGTAAATTTAATTTTTTCGTGAAACCGACTTTTTCCTACTGACGCCGTAGCCACACCACAAAACTGAAAACCGTTCTGTAAAAGCTATTGTTCATAAAAAATGTCAAGCTTTACGAATATGACAATGGTTTGCATCTGGCAAGACCAGAAATAACATATTATTCGGACTTAAGGAGCAACCCTCGTAAAGTCCCTAACGCAGTTTTCTACACTTTTTTACTCACACACAAACAAAACAAAATGTAAAAAGACAGCTCGAGCGAACCATTCATAACCAATTTCATGCTACTTGTAGAATTGAAATGAAAATGATGTTTGAAATTTCTTTGATATATTTCGAAAAATGAACTAATTATTTTGGAATTTTTTAATCTGTTTAGAATAAAATAAATTTTTAAACATTTTTCGTACTAACAATATTTTAATAAACATTCACTTATTATTTAATTATCACAATTTCTATCAATTCACAAATTATAATTCTTAGCACTAGCATGAAGTTGGTTATATGTCAACCTTTATTCATTCGTATAAAAACATATTTTGTTCACGCACACATGAATGTTGGGGACTTTTGACAATTCCACTTTTGTATTTTTGCATGCTGATTTCGAATCTCGGGGTTTCAGGTCAAAAAAATCATATCTTAGGGGTTTTTGACCCCCGACCCCCTTAAGTGTGGAGAGACTTGGAGGGCAGGGGTCCCAAAAAATTTCACTCGTTTGTAGTACATTATTTTTTGATCCGATGAACTTTTGAAAAATTGGGGACACCCCCAAATTCTCCCTCCTGCGGAAAAATTCTGCTCAGATAGAAATTTTCTATTTTTATCCCCAACCTACCGCCAAAGGGTTTTTCGAAATTCCCACTCCCTAAGAATGAGCCTATTATATGCGCCACCCTGTATATACATGCGCTAAGCGGGTAGTATATATCGCCCGCTGCTTGCTAACTCTTTGGGTGTAGTACAAAATTTCGCCGGAATTAGTCATTGATATATTGATATTTTTCAATATGAAAAATGATTGATTTTACATATAAATCGGCTCAAAAATGAGGTTTGCCTCCACAGATTTATGATGAAGTGTAATAATGGCCTGAATTATGGATGAATTCGGCGAGTTAAGGTCCGATCTCAATTTCTCGCTTGGTAACTCTTTGGGTGTAGTACAAAATTTCGTCGGAATAGCTCATTGAAATATCGATATTTTTCTATATCAAAAATGATTGATTTTGAAATTTTAGTACTACACGCAAAGAGTTAGCAAGCGGGATTTTGAGATTGAACCTTAATTCTCTGAATTCAGCCATAATTCAGTCCATTAATACGCTCCATGATAAATCTGTGGAGGCAAACTTCATTTTTGAGCCGATTTATATGGATATGTTGAAAAAAAAGTGATTTTTTTGTAAAAATCATGATCTTATAACAGTTTGCCCACACCATACGGAGCGAGGTACAAAAATTTTTTTTCAGGTGGGCGGACATTCATTGAACAAATATAAATGTTCTGGCAGATTTAAATGAACACGAAAAAAGTATATATTCGTCTCAGCACGAATAAGTCGACGTACACGTATGAGAAGAGTTCTTGTACTAACAAAAAAAGTAAAAAATGCGTACAATGTACTGCGTACACATTTCCACATTAACAGGGTAAAAAAATCATTGTTCTTGAATCTCTAGTGCCAAAACAAGTTGAAAAATGATTTTTGTGCATTTCAAAATTTTGACCTGATTAGAATATTTCAATGCGCATAGTGTGCGGAAAAGAAATTTAGAACTAAATCAAAACTTACGTTTAATAAAAGCAATAAAAAACATTGTTTACGGATAAGAATAAATATTTTATCTGTGAATACAGAAATAGCGTCGGATGTATTAAGAACTTTTCACGGATACACATCGCACGGACATACAATTCATCCGTACTCGCAAGCTTAGTTTAACGGATACAGATAAAATATATATCCGCATCCGTGACGGGTACGGAGTACTGACAGTGAGCCATTAACGCTTTCATTTCCATCACAAAATGAGATTACAATGTTCTTCATTCATTTTTAATGTACATAGTTGTTCAATAAATTTAAAATCGAACTCGATCCAAAAATATTATATTTCAGTCCAAACTGAAAGACCAGTGCCGCTGACATCATTACCACCACCACCAACAACAACAACACTACCAATTTCTGTTATGATCTCTTCGCCTGAGATTCAAGTCGGAGACACTGTGAGATTACCATGCAGTGCATCCGACAACATCACACACGTAAGAATGTCCTATTGACGATGCTGTATTAGGTGCAAAGTGCACCTTGCAATCATGGATTATTCGTTTATATTTTGTTCTTCTAGACTCCAACCACTGTGGTCTGGTATAAGGCAAATGGACCTCTCCCGGATCAATCATACCAAATGAATGGTGTTCTTACAATCACAAATGTTCAACTCACCGATGCTGGTGAATATATTTGTGAAGCTGAATCTAATCGAAATTACCAACAACGCGTTACAATTATGATCAAAGGTAAAAATTTCAGCTTTTCCCACTGTTTCCCACCCAATCATATATCAATCCGATTAACAATTTATTTCAATTATAGACAATCGTTTTCATCAAATCGAACCCTAGGGGGTAAACACAATAGAAATTGAATGAATTGTCATAATACCCATCTATTTTCAAATACGACAATTACTTACTTTTTTAAAGATTACTTGTACTAAAAATGGGAATATGTACCATGATTACCAACAGAAGGTGATGCCATATTTTATGAATAATTGAATTCTTCGGAAATTATAATGATCGTTTTTATTTACCTTATATTTAATTTATTTATGGTATAAATATGTAACTTTCTTTTGAATATGGAAATTTGAATCTCAATAAAATGTATGATGAATCATTGAGAAAACACTTGGAGACTCTAGATAAGAGTTCAAAACTTCGTAAATCTCTTTGCTCTTTTACTATACTGAATATTTCACCTCTGATCGTGCTGAGTATTGTGACGATATAAATAGTAATTGGATGTCACCCATTTTAGAAAATGTGATTTATGAAGCCACACGCCACAGAATGAGAAAAGCATCTCTTTTTTTACTTCCAATTCACGAAATAAAGATTTTATTTCATCTTTATTATGAATATTCTGTGAACATGGCATTACTGTTTTATAAAATACATCGAATATGTACATTGTACACATCAGTATGGAATATTACATGATATTGTTATTCAATACTTTCAATCATTTTAATTTAACGTTTGAATTCATGAAGCAACAAACGGCTTCTAGAAAAATCATGAGCAGTGATAAGAAATTTGTTTGGTTCGTTTTGTGTCGCGCATGCAAAATTATCTTTTGAAACTCTTTTAATTAAAGAATGGTACCTTAATTTTTAAGTGTGCGACCTGTGACACATTAAACGAAGTAACTTTAACTTATTTAAGTTTCAAATAAAAATATGAAATCAGTAGCCAAATATTAGTGGTAGTAGTAGTAATCTTTTATTAATGTATGTTTTTGCTTTACAAATCGCAAAATAGAAATGAGAGCAGAATGATGATAGCATAATCACACTTGTTTACAGCAAGTCAAAAGAATGTTTCACATTTTGGAAGTAAGCACATCGCAACACTTAGGGGCTAGTCGCGCTTTTGAATATTGCAGATATAAAAAGATTTTCACAAATCCAAATTTTAACACTATTCAAAACAAATGGAATTAAAATTAACGCCATCCAGAGTTGTGCTTCTGATTCAGAAGTTCTGAACTATTGAAATCTACGCAGCAATGAAACGACAACAACAATAACACGTATTTTTAATGTCAATATTTTGATGTCAGATGGCGTCGACATTGGTGATGATATTTTGAAACCAATCTAGTTCATAATGACGGTTGCAAATATTCTTCAAATCGTTTGTGTCCACTATAGTGAATATCGCAATTACATGTACGTTATAATGGACAAGTATAGTAACAGGGCGTCGTTCAAATAAATTTAAAAATCCGTCCACTCGTGTCGACACCATCTAGCTCGTCAGTAGGGATTTCATTATTGTGAATAATTTGCTATTGAAAAAAAATGGAACTTTTTGAATGTTTCGAAACTGCATATAGCTGTATTATATTTATAAGTATTTTATTCGCCATAATTTACATAGTATACCATGCCTATGCAGAATGTGACTACTTAGCACTTAGAACATCACTAATCAATAATAATATATTACGTCATAATATAGCTACACGTGTGCAGCGTAGAAAAAAATGGAACATTACTTTTTCTTCAAAAATTCATTTGGATATACGTCGTTGACTCAGATACAAATTGTAAATACACAATTGTTTCCTTTACTTTTCTTAATAAAGTAACACACTATACCAGCGAACCTACGAAGTGAAGGAGAATATATGAGAGACTGAGAGCAAAAACAGCACGTCGCATCTCATCTCTTGCTTTCACTTCGTATGTTCGCTGGTATAATGTGGTACCGTTGATGCCGTTGTATTTTACGCATAAGTGGAACAGCGGCGGCAATAGCGTCAAGGCAGCACATACGAAGCGAAAGGGGAATATGTATCGTGCATCCGTTTCGTATGCGTTAGCCGTACGAGTTCAGCATTACTCAGCTCTCAGTTATATGCTGAGCAGCAGCAAATAATGATACTCTGATTTCTTTTTCCCCAAAAATACCAGGCACAAAATCTGTCATAAACATATATTATATCAGCATCTAACGACAATTGTTAAATGCAATACTTTCCAATGTGCAATAACAACATTTGCTTCAAAATTTCTCTTTTTCATAGTTTGTAAGGAAAATTTCATTGACACACAAACTTTTGTCGTAAAAAACCCAAAAGCACATGGTAGCGACAATATTGGAGCAACTATCTATTTCGTAACACCAACATTCCTACGACGCGAACAATTTGCCGAGATTGTACGTGTCGGTCAAACGCTTATGCATGTACCAAATTTGCATTGGATTGTTGCCGATGACAATCATGTGTGTAATCAACATTTGGACGAGTTCCTAAATCGTTTCGGTAAGTTTTTTTTATATGTTATGAAATGGATGTACACTAAACGTTTCGTTTGACTTCAAAGTTGGTATACCCAAATACTCATATTTCGAGTCCAATGCCAGATGTTTATCGTAGTAATCGATTTGATCAAAAGCCGAGAGGTATTGCTAATCGACTTGCTGCACTTAACTGGATTCGAAAAAATGGAAAAAAGCCCGGTGTTCTGTATTTTGGCGACGATGACAACACATATGATTTAAGATTGTTCAACGAAATTCGATCGACAAAAGGGGTTTCAATGCATCGGTGTTAGTTCGCCAATCGTTAGGCCTGTAAGTGTGAAATACATTTTTTTTTTAAATTTCCATTCTGATTTATTTCTGACCATGAGATATTTTTTCGTTTCCGTTGAATCTTTATTTATTTAATTACCTTGATATTTATTTAATTATTTCAATTGTTTTAATTAAAGGGTAAGGTGATTAGTATTTTTGTTCCGTGGGTTGCCGGACGTGAGTGGGCAGTTGATATGTCTGGTTTTGCCGTTTCGCTAGAGTATTTGGAAAAAAGTCCAAACGCAACGATGCCATTCAGGGCTGGACATGAAGAGGATGGATTCTTGAAAAGTATTGGATTGAAAATGGAGGAAATTGAACCGCACTCAAAAAATTTCACCGAAATTTTAGTATGGCATACACAAACGAAGAAGGAAGCAGAGGCAGTCATTCACATCGATGACCGTAATGTTGAATCAACTGATACTAGTTTGGGGCCATTACTAAAATTACTAGACTCATTGGGAGTTGGTCATGCGAATTTGGCAGCAGGTAATTCTTTCAAATATAAAAGAAAAAATATAATGGAATTCATCACTTTTGTTTCACACGAAATGGAAAAGTTAATTCAAGATCTTTTAAATGTTTTCATAGAATTATTGTCGTTGAATTTCATTTGATTTCCTTCTTCAATCATTTTTACAATAGGTGTACCAGCATACTTAGCGAAAAATGGAGAATTAGAGGATCTTACCTATAAAACTATCTCATAAACACAAACGATTAGACCATGATTCCAATATATAAACACTAATTCCACCAATCCGTCATTTCATTGTCAAATATAATGTCACATTTTGCCGCTATTCACTTGGTTGAAAACTAAAGTTATTTATCGACACTGGAGTATGACATTTTGTTATTGATAATTAAAAATATATAGACTGGTAGTCAAAATCAGTTTATTACTGCGATTAGTACTAGGAATTAATATTGAT